CCCCAAAACCCCAAAACCCCAAAACCCTCTTTATCTTCAGTGATTACAATATTTTGTGAAATATATTAATAAGGTAATCAGAAGATTAAATCGAAAAAATATTACTATTAGAAAATATTAAAGTTATTACAAATTATATCCTTAAATGGAAAGCAATAATAACTCAAAAACGAAGCCAGCTTTTATTCTAAAAGAAGTTCACAACCCCAATTACTCAGATTTTTTAAGCAATGGTTAAAGTCCATTTTAACCAAAGAAAAACGCTGCATAATCTGATCAAGTATAAATTCAAAATAGATAATAAAAAACACAATAATTATTTTATGATGCTAAAGGAAGCCAGTAGATCTCAGGCACACTAACAAACCAAAATATAAAGTAACCAAAGTCACCATAGGTGAATAGCCCCGAAAAAAATTTTTCAATATCCAAACAAATAAAGCTCCCCAAAAGATCATCCTCGAAGCTATTACCCGCAATTAGCAAAGGAGGTATCTTTGAAGACAAGCTAATTTATGTTAGAAAACTGTAACAAGCATAGCATTTGAATAAAAATGTAATTCACATAGATCAAGATGGTTAATCACGCTAGGGCATTTATATAAAAGCAAACTTACCGAATTATGGTAGCTTTACTTTCAATAATAACGAGTATTTAGAAGCCAATGCTCAAAACAATAATCAAAATCTTAGATAGTCTATAAATTTCGATAGCTTAGATTAGAGAAGAGCTGCTTCATTTAGCCTCAACTAAAATTATCAAAATGTTAAAACTTAGCTCTATAATGCCAATTCATTCCTTAATAATGATTAAAATATTCAAAATTAGGTAAGAAATAGCTAGCAATACGAATAAGATGTGCAAGGAACAACCAAATTACATGGGTAAAATAACTATAGTAATTTATCTAACAAGAATGGTTTTCAATCAATGAACCAGTAATTTATAAAGCACATGTGAGGAATAGAGTAAGAACCATTTTAAGCTAAACATATGAAATACTTAGCAGAAAAAAGAAGACAGTTTAGTGAGCTTAAAGCAAGAATTGAAGTAATAAACCAGCAAATTTCTCATAATGAAACAAAGTAAAACTCTAGCATACCACCATATTACTAGAGTAACAATGCTTTGGCTCTATAATAATAAAATCTTGAAAAGAACTCCATGCCTTATGAAGCTTAGAAAACCTTCTAGAATGCCAAAATTTAATAGACTTTTGAGAAGAGAAGAGGAACTGGTTTAGATTAATATATGAATATGAAGAGTTAGCATTGCAGAAAACAAGTGAGATAATCACTTGATTCAAAGCTTAATATCTAATAAAATTAATAAGAAAATTCCTAATCAGCGTTGAGTAACAATACAGAAATTAGGAATTCTGCTCAGATTGCTGAGAATCAGCATAAATAAACTGTAAAGGACTGTCTGTAACTAAAAACTGACTTGGATAGCATTATCAATCATTTTTAAAGCTTACCTCAAAAGAAAGGACAAAAAGATATAAGCATGAGTGGAAACATCTAGAGAGAATCTAAAACCATACTAGAAAGATGTAATCTATCTTTTCAAATATTAAATTTTGATTATAGAGGATGAGGCTGATGATATTCTAAATTTTATGTCAGCGTAAGATAGGCTAGAAATTCAAAATATGAGACTTTATTTTTCAATGTCTGACTAATTTAAGCAGGCCAGAGATTATAAAGAAAGAAAATAGTTATTTAAACAACTAATTTTGCTGTATCATCCAGATAAAAGGGAGCTATATTATCAAACAACAGGGTATAAAAACTTATAATTTTTAACAATTCTATAGTAAAGAAATGAGTTAGGCATAAATAGAAAAGGCTGAAATGATATTTTAATTTTTACAAGAACACAAGTATGAACTTATAAATAATGAAACTATCCTTGATCTAGAGCCTGAGCTTATAGATAAAGGAACTAGCATATCTTTAAATACAGGAAAATATCGGAGGGTTGCAAATAAAAACCTACTTAAATCTAATCTGCTGAATAAGCAAAAATACTCAAATAGAGGCAGCAATTTCTCAACCAATGGAACCAAAGATAAAATGGGTTAGAGTAAATTTGACATGAATCCAGAGGTTAATCTCTCAAAGTATAAAAAAGGGTATATCTCCTCGCAAAATAAAGATCAGTAGTAGAATTAATAGCACCCGAGTATAATAGTCCTTAGAGATTTGCTAAAACGAAAAGTTGATTAAAATGGATATGATTTTTCCAAATTAAGCCAATGAGTTAAAGACAATAATTTAGATATCAGCATTTATGAAATAATTTTAAACATTAATACTTAAAAAGAATTCAGATAATTTTAATTTAATAAATATTTTAATTGATGTCTAATCCAAAGAGTTCAGGAGTTTAATGATCATTTCTCATTAATTTCTGCTTTACCGTGGGTAAAAATTCATATCTACCCCGAATTGCTCATTGACTAAAGTTACATTAGATTCAGGAATATCATCATCTTCATCATCATTATGGTCTCGGATTTTCTGAATTCCAATATTGAGAGTAATTTTCTCAATCCATAAGATAAACCATTAAATTTCTATTGAAAATGAGCCAGATGATATTTTACTTTTAGAAAAATATTGCTTTTATATGAATACTCTAACCAAGTCCGCTGAATTTTAATATTGCTCATTTAAGTTTGCTAATTAATATTAATTATCCATTCTATTAAGCTCAGCTTGAAATTGTTCAAAATTTACTTTCCAGTTATCTTAAAGATGCTAAATGTAGGTTGAATGTTAGTTTATAACTTACTCCTTTTCTTAAAGATATGAGATAGTATTTCCAAAATTTTTAATCTCTTTCGATATAAAATTTCGAAATCATCTTATACTTGTAAACCATAAAATAGTTTTTGTCAAGATCATCAGCTAGATATCCTCTGATAAATAAATCCTCTTTGCTAAGTTTTTTTAAAGGTAAATACAAAAGCTTCATCATCATAAACAATAGCAGCTGCAAAACCTTTACAATCTCAGCTTTATAAAAATAATTTCCTATAATAAATCATATTAGGACATAAGTAAAATACCTAATAGTTTTGAATGAATTATTTAAATAGGTAATTTCTATAAGCATCTCTGATATTTAAAAGTAAGAGCATAAGTTCTTGTGAAGAAGCTAAATAACTTGGCAGGTAAGCTTTATTGAAAAAGAATATCATAAAGTCTATCAACTAGTTGCCCTAATTTTTTCATAACCATAACAAAATCGGCTTGATTGCCATTATCATTTATCTATAATTATTGTTATATGTATCTAATTAAATGGAAAACTTGCTTATTTTTTACCTAGAGAATATGACAGAATTATTTTAGAATATCATCTTTGAAATTCCTCAAGTTAGTGTTTCCTTATCTCAAGCCCTGGAAAATAGTATTCTTAAGAATTTCATTTGGCCTTTCTAATACTTAATTCTTCTATATTGAATCATAAATTTTTAATTATAATTAAAATGACAGGCTGTATTTAACAAGAGAACCTACCTTTTGTCTTCCTCTTTTTGGCTAAGAGACTTAGTTTTCTGGAGCGTTCTCCTCTTTAGCTTGCTTTTCTATTCTCTAGAGACTATAGTTCAATAAATAATTGGTTTAAGGTTAGATGAATTTACAAAAATTGATGCTATTCAGGCTCTCCTTTTTCTTAATTGTCTATTTGAAAGTTATAGAGGCAAGATTTCAGTAGAAATTAAGCTCCAAATATTTTCTACAAATTATTTGCTCGAAATAATATTGCCATTGCTGTCTCCTCTTAAGTTAGCTAAACTCTCACTGGTTATCATCTTTTAGCCTCCTCTCTTTATCCTCTATTTGCTGCCCTCTAATTTGCATTCTGTGATATCTCTCTGTCTAAATATAGTATATAAATAATGCCTTGACTTACTTGCTTAAGATTAGTTTCGATTTTAGTTTCTCATTAATATTAAATTTAATTATCAATTTCTCAATTTAATCTACTTATATACAAGCGGGGTTTTGGGGTTTTGGGGTTTTGGGG